CCCTAGCGGGGAGACGGCGATGCCGAAGGCCGGCGGCGGGGACGAGGAGGAGTTCCGCGCCGAGGTGGAGGAGCGGCTGATCAACGAGGAGTACAAGATCTGGAAGAAGAACACGCCCTTCCTCTACGACCTCGTCATCACCCACGCGCTCGAATGGCCCTCGCTCACCGTGCAGTGGCTCCCCGACCGCACCGAGCCCGCCGGCAAGGACCACTCCGTGCAGAAGATGGTGCTCGGCACCCACACCTCCGACAACGAGCCCAACTACCTCATGCTCGCCCAGGTCCAGCTCCCGCTCGACGACGCCGAGGCCGACGCGCGCCACTACGATGACGACCACGCCGACATCGGCGGCTTCGGGGCCGCATCCGGCAAGGTTTGTTTGATGCTTCGCGCCCGCCCCCCTCCCCCTTCCCCAATCTCGCATCCTCTGCCGTTTATGGGTAATTAATTAATTACCGGTGTTGCTGTGCTGAGCTGTGCTGTGGGCTCGTGCAATTCTGTTCCGGCTGATCCGCTTGCTCGTGGGGGTTAGGGTTTCATGGTAACTGTGTGGTAATCGAGCGTGTATTGGTAGTTTATAGGCGAGGGTAATGGTAATTTTGGGAGGGGAAAGGGGATTTATGCTGGCCCGTTCCTCTAGCTAGGCGTACTTCAGGGTTTCGAAGTTTTTTGGCGGTTTGTGTGTTGCGTTAGTTTCAGAGGGGTTTGGCGGCTTGTATGTCTTGGCTTATTGATTAGCAGCAGGCGTTTCAGATGAAGGTAGTGGGGTTGTATCGTGATACTTGGGTAACCAAAATTGCGTCTGTTCTGTAACTGTAAGCTTCTAGGAATGTCACATTGCAGTGGTGCAGACTATGGGTCTAGATCTGGCAGTTGAAAGTGCTTCATCTTTGCTGGTTTAGCAACCCGATTTCACATGTCAGCAATAGGAAGTGCATCTGTATGTCATTTACTTTGTCTTTCTGTAAGCTGCAGTTGAAGCAACAATGTGTGCTTTTACAGTTGTAAACTTTCATCATATCACATTCCAGGCACTTACTCTGCATCAGTGGTTACCTAATTATTGTATTGGTTAAGCCCCCTCCACCCTTCCCCTCATAACATGTTTTTAACTGCACTGTTCTATTACTAGTTGATTGGCTTTCTTGGTGTAAATTGTGTGCTGTACAGGTTTTGTATCTGTCTTATATTTTTTTGTGTTAGTGTTAGGAACTAGTGAACCCCTCTTTGAATGGTGCACGGGTCTGTAGGGATGGTGATGGTTGGCGCTTTGGAATTTTCTGATTACGACCTTCTGAGTTTGATTATATCTCGTGCTATTCTGTTACTCCCTCTGTAAACTAATGTAAGATCTTTTAGATCACCAAATAACCATAATCAACAGAAGGAAATTATAACTCAACCTACTGTATCAAACACAACCGGAAACTCAGCCTGTTCACATGTCACATTATCATAGCAAATATGATAGAAGATATTATCTTGTTGGACCATGCACTAATCTAGCTATTGCTATCCTTGTCAAATTTGGCCTTGGTATCTTCAGGGGCTAGGTTGTATTTGGGCGGTTACGAGGTAATTGGCCTAGTTCTGGGAGATTTGCCAAACAACACTTTCTGCACAGATTCTTGTCTAAGGGTCACAGATTTGCATCCCTAAGGGTCACAGATTTGCATCCCTGGGCATTCTCAACTTACAGCTACCCCGCATAAGCTCCCCACAAAACTCCTCCTCTGTTCCCCACCAAGACCTCTGGTTTGTTCATCTTGTCCTTGGAAGCTTAGTGGATTGAAGTTGTTGTCTTTGGTTTTAGGGGGCTTGGTTGAGGATATGGTTGGCAGAGACCAAAGTTTTATTGGTTGGGGTTGTAGCTGCCATGAGAACTTTTTGATAGGAATTGGTTGCCTCCCTTTCAAAATGGTATAAGGTTCTTTGGGGATATTGATGATACACCCCTTACTTGGGTTTTGCTTGGAATTATTGGTACCTTCTAAGGTCAACATAGTTGTAAAATTATAATGCAGTTGAACCTGATCCAAGCCTTACCTTGGCAATATGTTAGCCCAGTGCTAGAATGAAGTC